GCACGAGCCTCTCGTCCATGAGTACATGCACGCTTCCTTTTGAGCAGTAATACGTAGAAACTCAACTTCAACTCTGTCTCCTTGCCATCAACTGCAGTATCAATTATCTGTCAAATATATTTACATTAAAGGTCCAGTGTATAATATTTAGGCAGAACTGGATAGTAATCATTATCTTTCATTAGTGTACAATCACCTGCAAAATAAGGTTTCTCGTTACGTTAGAATGAGCAACATCTATAAAGTACCATTATCTCTGCAATCAGCGTGTCTTCCAGGGCTAACTTGTGTTGGCTGTAATTACTTATGCACAGTTATTATGAATTGATTGCTTCAGTTTGGTTGGCAGGTTTACGTTAAACTTCAGATACAATGACATCTCGTTGCATTAAGTAATTGTTACAGAGTCAGCTAGGTTTAGACTGAAACACACGGCTGTTTAAATTTTTAGAATTTTTTTTTAGAATTTTTTAATTTTACGAGGACAGCACACAAAGACATAAAGACTACTGGTCTACTTAAATCACTCAGTTAACCTGAGGATGGTCAAGGTCAAGTTTATTTATATAGCACATTTGAAACAACCAGAGTTGTATATATATAAAATGTTTAGTAAAATATCAATATTACCTAACATATATAAGTAGATCAAATCATACTTACAGAATTTTGTAATGAGATCCCAGTTAGAGCATCGTCCTCCTGCTGATTCAGCTTGGATGTGGGCTGTACAAACAACGAGTCAGTCCTATAGTGCTGCTATAAACAGCATGTTTATCAGTGCAGCCAGAGATGTGTGTGTGCGTATAAGTGAATCCTTAATTTAAGTGGTCTCCTAGGTGTCTGCTGAGATGCCCGATGACTCTTGAGTTGCCCTTGACTGATGTGTACGTTTGTATACGCGTGTATCTGGTCATTGAGTGTTTCAATGTGATGTAGTATTATAGTATTTGAAAAAAGGCCAAATTGGATCAGTGTGTGCAGATTTTGTTTGTGTGTGATGGATGGATGGGTCGTGGGTGTGTGTGTGTGTGTGGCTGTGTGCTGCTAGTCAGACACTGGGTCTCTTTTATATTCAGACAGATCACCTGGTCCTCGGGCTCAGACTTTGGACAGGAGTGAGAAAGCAACAATGGGAGGGAGGGGAGGCACAGATAGAGCCTAGAAGAAGCATGTCCAATATTGTCCAATATTTAGAGAATGGTGTCCTTTTTTACCCTTTCTAAAAGCACAAAGCCTCGGTACATGGGTACAAGTTGTTGGCAACAAAGCACTCTGTCATACCACACACCAGCTAGGGAAAGTGCACATACACTGTACAGTCAGCAAAGCAGGCTAAAGTCAGTGTTAACCATAATACGGTTAAAACTTGTTGCTGCACAATAGTATGGAAAAATAACATTGTCATAATTTAAATGTAACTATTATATTGTCGCTCAGAAATAGAATATTTTTCTAGTGCCCAAGTTGACCAGAAACTTCAGATCTATGCACAGTACTGTATGCTGGGTCTTCGCTTAAGCTACACAATATTATTATCGTTTACTGTTACTAGAATATGAAAAAATGGTCGACTGTAAACAGTAAGCTAAACTGGAAAATATAGGTTGTTTTGGGAAGTTTTTGGCTCAGGTGGAGAAGGAAGCAGCAGCACTAACTGGAGATGGTTGAGCAAGAACCTTCAGGAAAAGAGCGCAAAGTTCAAGATGATGGATAGCTTTTTGTGCATATGGATAATATTGTTATTTATTTATCCAATATCTTAATATCAAAATTATTGATTAGATTGATGATTAGCTATTAAAATAAAAAAACTGGAATGTATAGCTGTATTTTTAAAACAAAAAATCTTAAATGAATGCAAGCTAGAGAAAGTCATCAGAAAACATGAGCACGAGGGGGTTAACAGTGACTGTAGTTTTCATGTTGACCAGCGCTGTGTGAGACACTGTTCCACTTCCCAGCCACAAGTTTCCACTGTGACACATGATCAGGCCTGTCGTGATCTACCACATGGCAGAGGAGGAACTCATGTACGCATGCATGTCCACGTGTAAACACATCTGCTGGTAGGCAAACACATGCACGGGCACACATGGACTGCGTCTGACGGAGCATCTTCTGCACATCCCCTCTCCACTCCACCACTCCTCACCCTGTCTGACTCCCCAGCGGTGTCTTTCTGATTCATACGATTATGAAATAATTTTTTTTACAGCCTTTAAATGTCTCTCTTCATTACTTATTTTGTCCACTTATAACCTACCAAACTCCCTCCATCAAATTTTAAAGGACCAGTTCATCAAAATGAGTTTAACAAACAGCAAAAACACAAAAGCAATATTTTTTTATACATCCTGTTCCTCTGGACAATTTTCTTTCAATCCTATTCTCCAAGCACCACTGTACCTTAACTTACCTCAGGAACTTTGTCTTTTACCTTTTGTTATTGTGTTATTTCTGCTGTCCTATTTTCACCTCATCAGTGTTTTGCACATTAATTCCACTAACCCCTTCCATCACCTTCTTACGCACACATACATTACAGAATGTACAGTAGCTAATGGATCATGAACCATATGGCTACCTACACACGGCTACAGGTTGACTTGATTGAGAAATTAGGTCACACACCCGTTTACAACACACTCAGTGTTGCTGTATTTGTCTGCTGCTGTAATCTTTGTCTATAAATGACTGCACCACTAATAAAACCTAAAATTGCAGATTAATGACAGGAGCTAATGTATCAGCATACAGGAGGAAGGTGGTAAGGGGTTTGGCCACTAAGTCAAATTGGCTTTAAAGCCTGGTGCTTTTCATGGGGTCATGATTTACACTTAGAGCAACACAAGCCCAAATGCCATCTGGTTTCATTATATTGGAGAGAAGGCAGACATTTATAAGGCTGATATTTTTCCAAAACTAAACAACTCATATCAAAGCAATGTAGATGGATAAATAGCACTACATGTAAGAGAAAAAAAATATGTATAAACTCTTCTTTTCAGACACAGAAATAAAGAAGACTCATAACACATCAGGGAAAGGGGCTGACAGTGGTCTCATCTCTGCTTCATTTAGATGTTAACGGTATGTCAACAGGATGACTAACAGGACGCCACAGGACTAACAGACCCTGTTGATGACATGAAAAAAGGACAGACAAGGTCAGACAAAATCAATGGTAATCAAATTCATACCATGAATATTGGTGGCAAAAAATATTGAAGGCAGAGTTGAAATACTACACAGGATGTGTTGGTGCTCTTACCTGTCTGAAGGTGCCCTCGGTGAAGCAGATCTTGCCGACAGCCCAGATGGGTACTGCAGCCACAGAGGAGAAGGCCATCGCCCACCCCAGATGGTAGGCCCAGGCTGGGTACACATGGCCCTCACTGGTTGTCAGGGGCTGGTAGTCCAGAAAGGAGCAGATCAAGCAAACCTTGAAGGAAAAGCAGAGGAACAAACTAGTACTCTTCCTACTTTATTGTAGCTTGACATTGTGTTGCTTATAAACCAAGACATGATGGCCTTTTGCTGACTCTAGTTTTGATTCTGCAACTAAGTCAACAGTTTTGCCCTTCTGGTGCCAAGAAATTCCCCATGCAAAGCAACTCTGGGTCCATATTTATTAAGCTTCCCAGCATCCCTGCACTGAAAGTAAACATTTCTACCAGTCATGTAGTCATGTTTTTTTATCAAGTCACTTGTAGTAGTTGTAGTTTTCTGTCAGCTGTCTTCATCAAAAATATCATTTAATAACCTTATCGTAATCACGTGTTCCTAAAACATCTCTTCTCTCTCCTGACCTAGTATATCTCCTGGTGACTCCCAACAGGTTAGGACTCCTCCGTAGCACTAATATGTTAATTACTCTTAGTTAGGAATGACTAAGTTAAGACACTTTGAACCTTTATAAATAAGGGCTCTGCAGGGACTCTTCACCTTCTTATCCCGTTCAGATCTCCCATCCATTCCGATGGATATATCTTTTCTAGGATGTACTATATGAAGCCCAGAACTGAGAAGACTGAGAAGCCAGGGACAAAGCTGGTGCAACAACCCACAGCCCACACAACCACAGACTGTCTCTGCATACACACACACACGCGCAGTGGCAGGTGGCATTTGATGACATTAGTCTTGCTCTTGCCCATGCTCTCTCACAGGGTAGTAAACCTTTTGGCTGCACTGGCTGCCTGCTCTCAGCGGCATGAAAAACACTGTGCTATATAACATTCTGTCATATACTGTATCATACATA